AATATATACGTTTTTTTGGATTGTTTTGGGTATGTATATTTTTTTTCTACTACTAAACTAGTAAACAAACTGTTTGATGAAGCCTTACAGTTCTGAATAACTTTTTTCTTTTAATGTAATTTTTAGCGAAGCCGATTATAAAATAAGTATGACTGTTTATAATTTATTTATGATGGAATTGTACGTTGAAAAATATTTCTCCAATATGATTTATAATTATTACGTTTAATTATTGTTTAGCTGAGATTATGGTTGTGAATTTTTTTTGCCATTAGTGTATGCACAGACTAAATTTATTTATGGATATTTTTAATTATTGAAAATGTTATACTAGAATAATTTACCATCACTTTTATCATATTATTGTAATATTAATCATTAAATAATCGTTTGTTTTTAGTCAGAATATTTTATTCTTGAGACCACATGTGCAGTTTTAGCATGAATATAAATGTTGTTAATGATACTGACATTTGATATTGGGTTATAACTACGATTAAGACAAAGAAATTATTGTTTAATGCGTATCATTCCATCTAAAAATAAGCGCATTAACATAAAAATGAATATTTAAAAATCGAGTTTTTATATTTTTCATTTTAACAGCTAATTTTAATTTTTAAATACATACATCAGTTCCACGAACAAAAACATACATCTAACACTGAAGAATCTCAATCGTTGTACCACGTAAAACTATTAATAATACCTCTTAAATTGGTTAAAGAAAATACGAAACAATTATATTTATACGTCATTCTAAATCTCAAACCCAATATTTCCAAAAACTCTCAAACTACCACAGAAGCTGACGAACTATCGTCACAGTTGACCTCCTTTTTTAACCAAGTTTAAAAATGTAATAACTCCTCTCATATTACTTTTGACCATAGTCATCAACAAAGTTTTATTGAATAGTGTTCACTAATACTAAACTAACATTTTTTCTATAAATACTTCTCTGAAATGCAAACGGTATATTTCAATACATTAACGAACCCCAAAACATAATTCATCTTAGAAAAATTAACATAGCATTAATAACAGAAACCTATCTAACACCTACTAAAAATATTCATATACCACGATAATCTGTATTGGATCTTGATGGTACCGTCCATGTAGGAGCTGCAATTTAAGTTTTAATATATATTCAGAATAATGTTCTCCCGCACTACCAATATATCATTTACAATTTACAAACATAAATACTAATTAAATTAAATCATACTATACTCAAAGTATATCATCAGTATATTACCTACTTAGATACTGTATCACCAAAAATGAATTAAAAACCTTTTAGCAATCACTAAGTTACTCCTTTATCATTGGAGGCGATTTAAATAATAAACTTTATGTGGATCCAGGCTGCAGGTCAAAAAATCCTAGAAGACAGATAGATCTTCTGGATACAATTTATTAACCAATACAATTTTAAAACTTCTCTCACGAAAATTCATCTTTTCTCACATTAATATATAATGCAATGTTAAGACTATCATATTTTCATCTGGTATGGAAATTTTCTATTACAACAATGATACCAAAACTGGGCAAGCCCAAATTTTTAATTATCTCATTAGACATATTAGTCTTTTACCAACATGTGGTAAGTTATTTGAAAAACTTATCTACATATTACGACACCCAAAAAATTAGCGCATCAGTACTATAACAGATTTCATAGCAAGTTATCAAATTATAGAAATCCTCGTGTTATCCAAATGTAACCTGACTATTTCTGAAAATCCTTTCAGAAGACTAAAATGAAACTAGCCTAGAGACTCTTTAAATTAATGAAAACAAAATAGTAATAAACTATATATATATATATATATATGTATATATAAATTCAGAGGTGCTACTAATGAGTAGTTTCCCATAAAATTAGTCCATGGAATATTTATTTTCTGATTAATTTAAAGATTTACTTATTGTACTATTATTTGAGTATAAATTGTATATATTGTTTAAAAAAAAATGCATACTTAATATATCTTTTTATTAGTCAGATAGGTTTCAGTATAAAATAACGAGAACATTTTATGCTTTAAGCGCACGTTTTTAAAATGTAAACAATATGTTATTATATTATCTATCCAAGTTTTTACTTTACTGAAAAAAAATTCACAGTATATTTATATATACGCATATATCATAATTTACTGTTATTACCTAGTTATAAGTATTTTTTTTATTTAATCTTGTTTATTACAGTTTATGATGACATATTTTGTACTACGACACGTGAGTGTTTTTACTATTTTAGTAAATACAGATATTTTCCAATTTTTTAAATACATTTATGTATTTTTGATTTAAATTTTTTTAGTAGAACATGAAATTAAAACAAAAATACCTTTCTACTTATATATTTTTATAGAAAATAATATTAAAATATGCAAGAAAATTAATATATTTCAAAATTTGAAATCTAAATATCGTGAAAAATATTTCATTAAATTAAATTTCCCTCATTTGCTACATTTAAATTAATAATATTCATAAAATTTTTAAACTCGGATTATGTATTCTATGACTATCGAGTTCAAAAAAAATGTATAGTTTTATTTTCCAACCCTTTAACATATCGCATGACCAAATAAAATGACCAGAAATAGTGAACGTTTTAATCCCTTTAGTATGTGATATTAACTATACGTCTATACCTAGTCTACTACTTCACCCTCGAGGAATATTTGAAAGTTATTGCGTCATTCATTTAAGAATATTTTAAAGTACTGTGTCATCATAATGATATATAGATAGCTTCTGAATATTAAAATAAAATATTACTGTCATTATGTGCGTGTTTGCAGTACGAGGGAAAAATAAAACGTTTGTGACTGTTTTTGTTTTTGTCAAGTTAAAAGTGAAAGTTTCTTACAATCAAGATCAGAATAATTATTAATTGGCGGAGGTTTTCTTAATAGATTTATAATTTTATATCGTATTGTTATGTTATTATAATGACCTTAAGTCTTCAGTCGAAGCATCTGAAAGGTGTGTGTATGTCGGTGAAGGTTCGTCGGTGGTAGTTGATCAATAAATAAAATATACATTTCTTAATTATGTTTTTAATTTAATAAAAAAAGGTTTAGCGATAAAATCAGGTATTATATTATTATTTATGTGCTATAATAAAAACAACATTATTATTATTTTTTGTATCGTCCGTTTATGTTTTTTGTAATATTTTTTTATACTCTATACACGGTTTGCAAATGATTTACTGAATACTATTATATTATTTTCATTTTTATACATTTTTATTTATAAATAACCGACGTATTTGTGATCTATTCTATTGATATATAATATATATATATTATAAGTATATGCATATCATATACATTGTATGGTGTACAAAATAGGAAGGAAAATGGTCGCGTGTTACAAATGTTTTGAAAGCTGTTTTAAATTATTGTTTACGCTGTGGTAATGAACTAGTGTGCAGATACACACGTGTAGGAACTATCGAATTTTAAAGATTGAAAACAAAATTAATTTACTATGTTATACGTTTATGGGCGAAGTTAAAGTATAGTAACTGTAGTGTATGAAAAAAGAGCGAATGTATACAAATCGATATTTTGTTTTTTCGTTGTTTATATACAGATTAATATTATCCGTCTGATGTACAGCAATGAAAACTTTAATCCTCTTCGACCTAGTTTAAATCCATACAAATATTCTTACTTACTAAAAGTGTAGCGGACTTACAGATAATGTACGATTCAACTTTTGTTATAGTTACCAAAAAATTACAATATCGTTCATAAGAATTTTTATTTCATTTACGACGATTATATTATTTTAATAACAACACAGGAAATTTATTTGAATGCTTGTGATATTTCTGCATAGAAAACGATTACATAATAGTTTAAAAAATTTGTTACTGACGTCTAAATGGATAAATTTGGATATGATACGAACTAGTCGAATATACTATAGCTATAGATTTACAAGACATATTTAATACTACGTCTAATTTTAATTATATTTTAAGACCTGTGAATCAATAAAATATTGTTTTATCAATAAAAATTGGTGTATAATTTAAATGACTTAATTTTATAACTCTTATTACATTGTACATGGTTTTGTAGTAGGCGAAATTGGGGTAGATATCCACTATAAGTAAATTTATTTTATTGATTTTTCCTTCGATATTATTGATGAAAATTAAACTTTGTAACAATTGCTCTACAATGACGTGATTAGCACAACGCACGTGTTTCAATGTTTTTATTTTACACTTGGACCTGTCTGTATAGTTATCAAGTTGTTGTTCTACTTACGTACTTTTATTCTCATTACGCACGTGTTAAATAAACGAATCGAACACAAATATACTAATGCCGTTTATTTGTAAACGTTGCATTAATTCTATTATAAATATATTAGATACGTTACATTATACGCTGTCGAAAATCTACGAATTGGTCTTAAACTTTGACGGCATGCTCGATAACAGTAATTTACAGTACATTATATGCGGTTATCAACTATTTTTTTTTTTTTATTTAAAAATCATCTCGAATGGATATATACAGTGGTATGCACAGAGATCTTTTCTTCTCGCTTGTATGACATCAAACACGATATGATTAAATTATACATTTTTTTCTTTTTATTACATAAACGAAGTTTGTATATTTTATCTTCTAAACAATATAATATCCATGACTACCTTGATATAAAATAAATAATAATTATTATTATTAATTAAATACGTAAGAATATCTCTTTTGATTTTTTTTTTTTTTTTTTAAAGTTTTATTTATTAATTTATTTTCCACGTCATATTTTGAATAAAACAAATATAAAATTTCAATATAAGAAGGGGATGGCCCTCTAGTCGCGGGGGCTGAACCCCCAATATTTTAATAATACGTAGATTCGTGACAGAATATTCCGTCGTTTTTCTTTTATAAATGTTATATGCCTAATCGATATTAATGAAAATTTTTTGTGATGTGATCTGCACTCAGCTACAGCCGAGTCATGGGCAAGATGAGCGGATCAGTGGTCATCAACGTGAAGCGGCCGGTGTACCAGCTGGACGACCTGCACGACGGCAACCCGAACGTGGACCTGGAGGCGACCGTCAAGCGGAAAAAAGTGGCCAAGCTGAAGTGGTCGGACGTGAAAACGGTGGTGCCGGCGATCGACTGGCTGTTCACCAACTATAACTGGTCCGAGGACTTCTTCAAGGACTTCGTGGCCGGGTTCACGGTGGCCGTGCTGAACATACCGCAGGGCATGGCGTACGCAATGCTCGGCAACGTGGACCCGACCGTCGGCCTCTACATGGCCATCATGCCCGTCATCGTTTACAGTCTGCTGGGCACGTCCAAGCACGTTTCGATGGGATCGTTCTCGGTCGTTTGCCTGATGACCGGCAAGGTGGTCAGCACTTACGCCAACGCCAACGCCAACGCGGCTGCGGATCCCACGGCTGGCGCGTTCGCCGACCCGGCCGTATCGCTGCAGCCGCACAACGCGGCTGCCGTGTACACGTCCATCGAGGTGGCCACGGCCGTCACTCTGATGGTCGGCCTCATACAGATACTCATGTACGTGTTCCGGTTGGGCGTCGTGTGCACAATACTGTCCGAGACGCTGGTCAGCGGGTTCACAGCCGGCGCGGCCGTTCACGTGGTCACGTCCCAGATGAAGGAGCTGCTGGGCGTCAAAATCGAGAACCACAACGGGCTGTTCCAGATCGTCCTCACCTACTACGATATCGCCAACCGGATCCGGGACGTGAACTTCGCCACGATCACCGTGTCCTCGATCACCATCATCCTGTTGCTGTCCTACAACATGCACCTGAAGGCTTTCATCAACAAGCGGCTGTTCATGCCCGTGCCTATCGAGCTCATCACGATCGTTATCGGGACGATGCTCTTCCAGTTCACCACGTTCTCGGATGACTATCAAATCAAACTGGTGAGTGTACCCGCTGTTGTTTGGCTTTGCGCTGGGTGGTGTTAGGGGCGTGATGTTGGCGGCTTTGACCCAATCCATCGAATTATACTTGGGGCACCGAACGTATTTAGCCCGATAAGGGGAAGCCGAGAGTGGTTGCAGGGGTGGTACATCGACATTAACGACCGAATGCCGGACGAGACGTGTATTGTATATTATTAAAAGACACGTATTATTATTATAATTAAAAACTCAAAAAAAAAAAAAAAACAAACAAAAAACTAGTAATTTTAAGTAACCTTGATTTATTTGTCTTATACTCGTACTATTCGAATTTCTTGACCCGGTTTTCTTATAACTGCACACTCTAGAAGTTTATTTTATAATTGAATTTACACCGGACGATGTACGTCTGCTGTTTCTATTCGAATATCGAAGGCAATAACCTAACCTAATTCGGCGGATGAAAACGAAAATAGTATTCAAAACACGCGTTAAATGCACGAGTACTTCTGATATAAAATTCTGGGTTCAAAAGCGATAAATTCTTAATGTTTTATTGTTAAAGTGATGCATTTTTAAATAAAAGATTGATATTATGACTTTATTGATTATGTTTCGTATCTGAGACATTGCGCGTGTTATTTGTTGATGTTTTAAATATCATGATTTTAATTTTTATTCAAAGTTTTCAAATTTTCTCATTAGTTTTCAAAAAAGTCGTGTTTAACCTTGGCGGTATTTTACGTTTTAAATCAAACCACATAAGTATCGTTTTTGCCATATATTATACCTTTTAAGTTTAATAATAATAATAATAATAATAATAATATGCCATTTTCCTGCAGCGTCTGGTGAGCAAAGCGATAGATAACAGCATAAGTTTACTTGATTCTGATGTGGCAACATGCCAATGCACTATGCGAAGAAACATAGACGATATAGATAATTTAATAATAAGAAACATGACAAGAATATAAAATACACGATTGCGTAACTCGTATATAAAACACTCTTCTAGCTTGCATTTAAACTCTAGCCGATGTAGGGAGGGACTACCCCCGAGTATATATACGGCCAAGCTTCTAGTGTCGCACACATATATTATGTTATATATGTATTATATATTTGATAAATTAAAGTTTGTTTCGAGTTTCATGAACACTCTCTATACGTGTGATGTAATAAATTTTTTTTTACCACGAGACAAATACTAAGTATGTTTGACGTAGACCACTATCTAAATGTTATTGCACAGAACATCGGGAGCTTCATTTCCACATCCCCTTCCATCCAAAGTCGGTAAATTTTGTAAGAAATGGAAAAAAAAATCATCTAAACATTTTATGCATTTATATAACTGTGTAAATTAATATTACGAGTATATAATATTTAACAAATATATCTAAAAAACATAGAAGTAAATTCATAAATTTGAGAAATAAACACATTTTTTTATTCTTGAGTTAGGGGCGGCATATGTTTTAAATCCGGCACTGCTTCCACCATTATACAAAAAATATGCGTAAAAGGTTCTCTTATATTTATGTGGTGATTTACTTATTATATTATATAAGCAAAAGTCAACACATTAAATAAAATTAAAATTATATACTTAATTTATTTTATAATTGTAAAGTAATAATTAATTTAAATAATATTTTAACCTGTTTAAATTATATTTTATGTTAACTGATTTTCTCAAATTTGCTATCTAAAATATTACTTAGCGCTGTTTATTTACTAAATAGTTAACGTAAATGAATATGAATTATTCAAGTTTAATCATTCATTATTCTGATGAGTATCGACATATTTTGTTCTCTTTATTGATGAGGGGTCACCACTGTAGATCTAATGGCATGTGTGATTGACGTGCTTCATGAGTTGTTGATTCCGGCTCATAATTATATAATTGGCAATCATAACATAATTATCTGTAGGTATTAATGTTTTTATTAGTAAATTGTATGTATATATTATATAGAGTGGTTAATTAATTTTTTTATAAAATATTCATTATTGAAAAAATAACGGTTATTAACGGTTTTTTAATATATGATATAATAATAAAAAAATTGAATATATTAATATAATATCGTATATCATATTTCACTTACATTATTTAAAGCTGTTAAAAAACATCATTTTTGAAAAAATAAATATTTTTTCTATTTTTATCGTTATAATTTTCAAGTTTTTACTTTTCTGAGTAACAGCATTAATTTTTAATTTCATATTTCAAAACAAAATATTATTCAACATTTTTTGGTCTATAAAAATTAAATTTTGTACAAGTAGCTTGTTAGTTATAATAAGTATTTTAATTTAAATTCAGTTTAATTCAGCGAAATTTTATTGAATATCTCACGTTTACCACTCAACACTAATTTTCTAAACTTTGGTTACTTATTATTAATATAATAACTATTCGTTATTTTCTACATATTATAAGAAATCCAAAAATTCTTCTTCTTTAAAATAAAGAATTAAAAATGTATGGTTGTCATTAGGAAAAAAAAATACAGCAATACAAAGTAGTAACATTATAATATTTTAGAAAAATATTGTTTTTGAACAGCTCAAAATAATGTAAAAATATTTACGTTGATATTAATAGTATTTTAAATATAATAAGTGTCCTACATTTAATTTATCAATCAATAGATATGTATGAGACAAACGGAACAGAGAAAATGGATTAGTGTATCCACTTTAGTGGTCAGGGATTCATTACTTATACCTAGAACTATGACGCAAGGTTTCGTTATTATAAGTACCTACTTGAAAATGCCCTCATAGGACTATTATTATTATTATTATTATTAATAGAGTGAACGAGTTGAATATATGGTTTGTTGTAATGGTTTTTTCTTTTTATCTCGAAATGATTTACGTCCTTACTCTATAAACAATATTGCGAAACAATTGGTGAGTTGTGCCGTGTATTAATTAATATTATTACAATAAAATGTTGTTTTAGTTTTTTGTATTAATCAATTATTAGTTATTACACACTCAAAAAAATATTACATTACGTTCTAATGATATTACTAGATATTATGATAAAATAAATACACGAATTTACATCATTCGAATAGTTATTCATTAAATATGTTTATTTTTATGATATTTATTTTTAGTTAATAGAATTGATGTGAGTTTTGAAAATTATACATTCAAAATAAATGTATTTTATATAAGTAATGTTTTATTCGTTAAATAATATTATGTTTCATTATTTTTATTTTTTTAGAAAACTTCATCATTATTAAATTAATTGACAGTTTGTTTTAACATTTAAGTATCAATTGTTATGATAGAGCGAATACCTTAAGCTGTAATGCTGCATATGCTTTGAATTAGTAACGTATAGTCTTACGTTTATACGCTAGCTCGCAAGATTAGTTTTGTATAGCTTTTTTTACGCTCGTGAAGTTGTGACGAGAAATGTTTGATTTCGAATTTGCATAAATTATTTAATTATATGTATATCAATAACAAGTCGTTGATATTGTCAATATCTGTATATTTTGATATTAATTATTGTATTATCTTATAATTCGAGTATATTATGTTTTGATGTTGTATGAATAAACTTTCATTAAGCCGACTAGTTGTACCTCGCGATTTTGTTGTTTCTCCGATTAAAGGTTAGATACCAGTGGGTGATAATATAATTTATGCCATTGTTAATTTTATTTAATTATATTATTATTTAAAAATATTTTTTTTATTGCTATCACTATATATTTTTAGATGATAGAATTATTATTGTTGTCTTTAATCTGTTGAAAATATTTATTTATTGATAATAATTAATTATAATTCAATGGACTGCCATTATTTCATAGTTTCATTCACATGCAATATCTACTTAATTCTATGCAACAATAACCAACAATTATTACTGCGTATTATATGATCGCATTAAATGTTTTAGGAATGTAAATTTGGACCAACCAAAATCGATTAGAATATAATATATAGTAATAATAGCCACGTTGATTATAAGTTGTAGTTATTATAATATGTTTATGGTATAGTTCACGTAGAGTGTCTGTATAGAACGCAATTCTCCTATGTAGGTTAGAATATAATTTTTTTTCTGTATTTGTGTAGTACTAACGCGCTGTAATGTTTTCTAATTCTCCAAAACTCATTCTTTCGTTGGTGCATCAGTCATTGGCTTTTATTCACGAGGCCTCGGGTACTCAGCCTTAGTTCCAATATGATGTCTTTATCATTGAACTAGTTATTATCCTATAGAATTGAACATACTTTATTTATAAGCTAATACTTAACTTAATGTTAATTATATACTGCAGTATCCATTTTGTGCGCAATGCTTTCATCATAGGTGTCCGATCACTCTACTTTTTCCACATTTTTCGAACACCGATTATTGCCTCCTGGCTCCTTTATACGCGCACAATTAAAACCACTCTATATCAAACCTAAACTCTCCTGTCGTCATAATAATTTTGCCACCATATACCTTTATTGTAAAATCCAAATACATATGAATACTCACGATAATGATGAAAAAAAAACCGTTACGGTACCTATACCTATGTGTGTGTTTCATATGCCGATTCATACCTTAAATAGACACTATGTGTTAATGTCAAACCACAAATCGGTTAAGCGCATAGTAGGACAGTCGAAATATGGCACAAATATTACATCGGATTATTCAGGGGTTAAAGCGGGGAAGCGGACTCAGCTCATCTATCTCTAAAGATGGTTAAAAGTGCCCCCTTTAATTAATTATTCGTAAGGTAGGTATGCCGGAATGCCCAATTAAGTATAACTAATCATAACATTGGTCATTATAATTCAGAATTCTCTTGAGATTAAATCTAGGTTTTTATTTATTTATTTTTATCAATTGTTGCTTTAATTTTATCAAATGTATTTAATACTTATTAGTTATTATAGACTAATATATGTATACAAATAATCGATTTTATTAGTTATGGTAAATGGCTACACTGTGAATAATAGATATTCGATTAACAACCAATAACATAATGATATTATGTAAAATTAAGTTTTATGTAAAATGTGAACGTGTGATTTTTTTAATCCTCATGCTCACTCCACCATTTGTAGAATTTGAATTTTTTCCTGTACAATTAAAAGCACTAAAAACACTATATTTTTATGACATTTTTTGTCTGGCTGATTTCTTTAGTTTCCTTCAAAGACAACCATTACTTACAATTTACCAGAACACAAATATTTTCTTTCATAATATTATATTTGTATGAAATATTAGTTATTCTAAAAAAAAAAAAAAAAAAAAAAAAAAAAAAAAATAAAATATTATTTGTGATTTAAATTTTCCATGAAATATATCACGAATTCGCACATTATTCAGTGTTAAAAGTGGGATGAGCGTGTTACACAATCGCTGTTTATACATTACATAATAATATATACTACCTACACAAGCATTAGACATTACACATAAAATAATAATATTATATGGAACGCTTAAAATTATACGGAGACATCAGTACTCCTTGAAATTTTTCCCCGCTTTAAGCCCCGGGGGTTATCGACGGTCACACGCAATATCCTTATTGCTGCGCTTGTAGCGGGTTTTCACGCATAATATCTGCGCGCAATCCTTACTGAGGATGCCGCCGGTTTACTGAGGGCTCGACGTGCTGACGATTTTTTTTTTTTTTGTTACAGATAGGCGAAATCGAGAGCGGCCTGCCCGACTTCAAACCGCCGCCGGTGAACTTGCTGATGAGCGTGATCACCGAGAGCGCGATAATCGCTATCGTCGCGTACTCGATCACTATGTCCATGGCGCTGCTGTTCTCGGAGAAGCTCAAGTACTCGATCGACACGAACCAAGAGCTGCTGGCCCAGGGCGTGGGCAACGTGTTCGGTTCGTTCTTCTCGTGCCTGCCGTTCGCCGCGTCGCTGTCTCGCAGCGCCACCCAGCAGACGGTCGGCGGCCGCACCCAGATGGCCAGCATCGTTTCCGCCGGGCTGCTGGTGGCCGTCGTCCTGTGGATCGGCCACCTGTTCCAGCCGCTGCCCAGGTGCGTGCTGGCCAGCATCACGATCGTGGCCCTCAAGGACATACTGCTCCAGGTCCGGGACGTGGTGCGCGTGTGGCGGACGTCCAAGGCGGACGCGGCCATTTGGATCGCGACGTACTGCACCGTGGTGCTGGTCGAGATCGACGTCGGACTGCTGGCCGGCGTGGTCGTGTCGCTGTTCTTCGTGTTTAGCCGGGGCATCGGCACCGGCGTCGTGGTGCTGGGCCGGATACCGGACACCGACCTCTACGTGGACATGGACAGGTACCGGCGCGCGGTCGAGGTGCCCCGCGTCCGGATCGTCCACTACTCCGGAAGCCTGAACGTGACCAACCGGAACGTGTTCCGGGACAAGGTGCACGGCGCGCTGTGCCGGTACGACGGGCAGCTGGCCCCGATCACCATATCGATAAACAGCGGCAAGGAGACGGTCGTCCGGGCCCAGTGCGTCGTGTTCGACCTGGCCGGCATGCACTACGTGGACAGCTCGGGGCTGACCATGTTCGCGCGGCTGGTCGACCAGCTCAACGAGGCCGGCCTGCTGGTGTACGTGGCCGCCGTTTCCGGGAACGTGTACGACTGCATGCGAGCCCGGCAACTCGGCACCGTCCAGTTCTTCCCGTCCGTCCACGACGCCGTCGAGTTCTACAACAACTTGGAAGAGTTGAGGGCGTGATCGCGCGCCCCGAAAACAAAACCGTTTCCGGTTTGTCCGTTCAAAGTGTGTACAAAATAATATTATCGTAAACGTCGTGCACGTGTCCCCGGCTAAAAGTTCGTCGGCGCTGTAGCGTTTTAGCCGACAACAACTAAGATTTCAAACAAGTTTTATTAATCGATCGTCTATTATTACCATACGTAGGCGCCAACGAACTGTTGCACGAACCACGCCAGCTGTTTTGTTGATTACAACGATATTTTACTATCATCATAAACATCACGCTATTTTAAATTTAAGTGTGCATTAGATTTACGGTCGGGACTCGAACGCAATTTTACAATATTTTAGATTCCTTTCGCCTTCTCCCCCCTCCCCCCCCCCCATCCGTTGTCGTACGTTTCGCTAAACTAGCTGGACAAAATGTCGGATCAGCGCAGTAGTTCCTATGGTATAGAGCGAGGTTTGATATACGTAAAAATAGTACGTATTTAAAATGTCATTTTAAATCAATAAATCTATAAAAAAAAAAAAAATACAAAGTTGACGCGTTGAGTGATTTAATTATCGTGTGTTATAATACCGATTATATAAATTAAAATATAACAATTCTGCACGATCGATTCGGTTTGCGTACAGACGATGATCTCCATAGAAAATTAGGCGTTTGTATATATTATTATAACAGATCGTCTGATGGTCGGTTAACGATTTTCAATTGCGATCCGTTTGACGTCAAATGTGATTCTAAATCGTCGCAATAATTATCGGCTTAGTCAGTCAGACGTTATACTATTTTTGTTGATGTCTTGGTCACGGTGCGATCCGACACTGTCCTATGGATTTTTTAGTCAACAATTCGATATCCCACCTTAATCATAAATACCTAAGTATAATATGTGTATAAGGGTGGTTTCAAGATTCTATTTTATTTTATTTTATTTTTTTTTTTTATTTTAAAAATAAAGGGACTTTTATCTGTTTCGATGTTAAGGGAAAACGGTTTTCTGTATCATCCTGTCCAGTATAGTATTATACGTCCACCAGTGTTTAGAACCGCCGTGAAATTGTTCCTAGATAAATTAATTTACCGTAAAAATACTATCAAAGTTTTAGTTTCTATATTGTTGTTTTCGTAGTATTATAACTTTTTTTTAATAAAATGAAATAGCGAGGTACGATGGAACAATACAACAATAGCCATAATAATTGATATTAATTACCATAGTCAAATGATATCATATTTTTTAATCTTAGATATTTTATATTACGAAACGTATGTTTTTCGTGTTTATACATATATATATTTTTTTTTTATTATTCACTTCACCAAGTCCAGGTGACCATTCCAGACCCAGTCTTGGTTACATCCATACATCGGTCGTTTAATAAACAGTTGGTTATTATATATAATTAATAATTATTATATTAGTATTTCATGTTGATTCCATGTTTTTTGGGATTTTAGTGTGTATAGGCATTGTGAAACATTCGTAAAAACTACTAATCATCTTCTCGACAATAAACCACGGGCTACCCCAGCGTGACGTACTCGTGTAGTGCATACCTCAGTTGTCTACCTACTGTACGTGTAATACTTTGCTATATTTGTAATAAATGTGTTGATTTAATTTTGATAAACGATGATGTCGTACCATTACTCATTCTCAGCGAGTTATTATCATTGACTGTCGTAAAACCTTTGCATTGGAAATCAATAGGAAATTAAAAACCGCGAGTTTATGTTTTTGTCTATGTGACGCGGCTGATTTTTTAATACCATCTCTACACAGCCTGTCTTAATGCCTTTTTCAAAATTACCAAAATCAAAATCAGATTCAATGCGTCCATAAAAAAATTCAAAACACTTAAAAATAATACATCGAAACCTATACACCTATAATATCTCCTCCTGCAATACCTGCATGGAGTATTGGTTATAGCAAAATATAATATTATATACAATTTTTCGTGAGAAAATGTAGAAAATTAATTGTTCGAATTTAATTATAGTATGATATATATAATATATATCATACAAACCTATTTATGTTTTTTTTTTTGATGAACATATTAGTAAAATACTATAATTTTTTTAAATAATATTTAACGTATATTCATATGTTATATGTAAATGACATATAATGCAATATTATTTAATAATAACTGTTATTTTTATAATAAACGAAACAAAATAGTTTTCGTTGTCGTTTCGTAAAAGTTCTCACGCTCTCTCAATTTATCTTTTTTTATTTGCATCTACTCAATATTATTATGATGTAATTATTTTTTTTTCTCAATACATCGTGAATTTAAACAGGTGGGGGGAACATTGTTTTACTATTCTCGTGTTATATTATATAGTTGTGTATTAATATTGTACGCAGTTACCAATTTTTTTTCAGACGATAAGTTGATGGACTAAATTTTTTTCTATTTAAATAGTTGTGGTTATATTGATTTAAATGTCTATAAATTATTATGCTGTATATATTACTTATATAATTTTCTATGTATTATACTTTTATACTTTGTTGGTTTTCTAATCATTCCATTGTGATTTAGTATTTATCGTTATTTTTATGTTGTATTTTATAAATGTTATATTATTTTATTATATAAATATTATGTAAGTATATTATGATATTATAAATATTTTTATATTAAACATATTATGTTACGGTTTGTTCAAACAGGGTTAGCTGTATAGTTATGCAAATGTATTGTTTTATTACGACGTTTTAATGCAAAGATTTAGACAATTAAGACAGTTTACGTGTATAGTGTATACCGACATTATATTACTATTATGATATTGTATATATTTAACTTTTTTATTTTCCAAAATCGTTTTTAATTATTATAACAATAATAATATGTCCTGTCGGTGAGTAAATGTTTTTTGTCTGACAATATAATATATTGTCGTAATCGTAATATTATTATGATGTATAGTTTATATATATATATATATAATGTTTTTTTCGTTAAACCGACCAGTTACCACCAAAACGATTTACCAGCGTATATGTAATTAGGTACACGATGCATTATTATGTAATTAGAGTGCTATAATGTGTATTGATGTTCGATGTTAAAATGTATTTGTTTGTTACATTTAACGCCCGCGTATCTCTATTGACAACAGAATACGTGCATAAAGTCTGTGTTAATAGTATTTCGTCCTAGTCTCTAGATCAAAATTATTGTTTAAATATTTTATTACCAAATATATTTTATACTATGTTATTAAATTCAATAGCGTGTACTTATTATATAATATATTATTATATTAAAAAAAAAAAGAAAAAAGTTTGTACTATTTTTCGGCATCAATAATTATTGTTATATATATATATAATATATATATATATAATATATATATATAACAATATATACTATTCGTCTTGATAAATAAAATAACATACCTATGTTTATATTTTTGTTTATGTACTTAATTATTTCCATTATACAATAATAAATCGTTAACCATAGGGGTAATAATTTTATCAGAGTTTGTAATAATTTTGTTAACTTAAAATGGATTAAGTACTAGACTTTACAATGTATAATGCCTAAGTTCATCATTACATTGAAAGTAGGTGCTAAATAATTTAAATTATATTATTGACATGTAAAGTTTGTCTTCGTTTTATTATAGTAACTGTACGAATATCTACTTATTGAACAAAGTGTAGTCATAAGTAAGTAAAAGCTGCATCAGTTGTATTGAAACTTAACGTTGGTGGTAGATTTTTGAGTTACTATTTATGTTAATGGAAAAGATATGACGTTAAAATAACTAAATTTTACAAGTTCGGAATTATGGTATTAACAGACAAAGGTATAATGATAGGTAGATATTAGGCAAATAATCACAAAATATAGGTATTTATAGACATAACTATGATAGAATATGTTTGAAAAATATTCTCAGAATATAACTTAAATCTATCCAAAATGATTTATCCATTAAAATAATAATAATAAAAAAAACATGAAAGTTTGATTTCATAGTAAGTACTATTAACTTCTCGAATAATAATCTATTTATTTTCAAAGATAGTAAAATTATTATATGAGTATACGCGTTTTAAATAATAAATGTTTTTAAACATAGTTTAAAAATGGTTATGTATTGGCATTGTTTCACATGCAAACTTATTATTATTAAGCTAGCGCAACGTAAAATATTTTAAGGTCAAATTATCTCAACTAATCCTAGAAGGTCCCCAAAGTCTATAAATATATTACGCCAAGCAACGGATATTAAATGCATTTTTTTACATAATGTTATATAGTATATTTAATAAATTTTTACAGTATGCAAAATATAATATAATATCTATGTGTTAATAGTTAACGTAAAACAATATAAAAGAGTGAATGTCAAAAATCATTTACTTCTAAAACAATGTGTAATGTATTTGTATCGTACATTCGTGGGTATTAAATAAAAAATTGAGTTATTGATGTTGAATTTTTTCAATTTTTAATTTAATTGATTGATGGAGTGGTTAAGATATCGTTGAAGTAGTAAACAGTAATTGAGGTAACTAAAGTAGCACAGTAATAATAGCAATAGCGTTAGTATTAGTAGGTAGAAGTAGTAGTAATAGTAGGTAATAGGTAGTAGTAGTAAATTGCAGTATCAGTTAATTCCTGATGTAAATTAATAAATTATTTCAATAACATTTCTCATATATATATATATAAAAGGTATACGTAACATACTCTGCAAAGCGTATGTATATATAGTATATTAATCATATGTTTTGTAAAAATAAATTATGAATTACTTAATGATTATGCATAGGATACTTTAACATAATATATCATACCTACTTAATAATATGTAATAATAATAAACATATAAATATGATAAGTAATCTAATATTAAGATAAACTTGAGGTCTAGGCGAGTTTCTTATGTGTATAAGTAAATGACCTGATTATATAAGTGTCAATGTTTTTAAATACTAATCTTTGTTGAAACATATAATACAACTTTATACTAGGATATACTACTTATGTAGATATTTATTAAAAATACAATAACTGTAATCAAATTGAGTTGCAACTTACAATATTATAATCTTAAATTATTCATAGACTATTCGTAGACTTTGTTATAGAGCACTAACACTAATATTTTATGCTATAATTGAAGATCGAGCAAAAGTTTTGGCCAAGAATATTAATAGTTCGAGAGCATAAATTGCAAGAATTATTGGTAACGAATTAATCTCGTGTGATGGGTATTTTCATGACTTTAAAATTAGAGATTACCTACAGAAAATTCTGAAAGGTATGTAAATTAATTATTATAGATTGAAAGTCATCTAGAAAAATGATGATAAATTGTATTTGCAAATTTAGAATAATATGTACTTTTAATTATTAAAACACTAAAAAATTTAAATAGGTCTTGATACCACGTAATATATTCATCATAGTTGTAGGTTACTACGTAACCATAAGATGTTTATCTTCAAAGTCAAATATTTACCGTAATTGTGTGAGTTTTTAGGAATAAATCCTCGAATCAATCAATCTACAATTAATTATTCAAGGAATTATATTTAATAATCTGAAAATCATAATAAAATAATAGTGAATTAATGAACCAAAAAATAAATATAAATTTAAAAAAAATAGTAATAATAGTGGGAGGAATCGCTCTGTCGCTTAGTAAGTGTCAAGTGTCCCTGCAGTCATTGTAAATAATGTGGTGTATTTGAATTCAATAACGAATCACTTTATACGAAAAAAAGATTCTAAGCGAAGGAAACTAATATATTTGCAGCATATTTTTCGAAGGATAATAGATAGTTAATCATGGTATATTTTATTTATATTATTGTATGTATTTTCTTAATTTGGGAGGTTGAGCTAATTTTTGTCAATAACAATGCATATAACAGCAATGTTGTAATTAATTTAAAA